TGCTTTGGACCACTGTTCTTGCAAATGCATCTAAGCTACCACTGTTGTGTGTTTTTTCCACTTTTAATGGAAAGTGATACGTACAAAGAAGGCCAATAGGTTCGTGCATTTTTCGACTCACAACAACACAGAGCATACCTTTTTGTAGGGGTAAGCGCGATTAAATGATATGTAATACGACGTCAAGCTTCTGTTTTTAACCCATCGAAGACGGCCCGATCCATGAATGGGTCACGCATTTCAGGGTGCGTGGGACCGTGTGAAACTTTTTGATTGCATGAGTCGCTCCATTTTAAAGTTTATAAATTTTTAATGTATAGTACAAGCAGTGGTCAATGAAAGTCGTTAAGAAGCGCGTTTCTATGCGCCAGACACGGAATTAATGTACGGTCCTCAATTTACAACACTTTTCTGAGCTGGACAAAAATGACAGGAACTTTTAGGACAACACGCTTACAGTCACAGTTCACCTCCTTTTAAAGTTCATAGGTTCGTGCTATATTTTCGTGTTAGGATCTGATTCTTACTTTTTTACAGTGTTAATGTGCCTGGAATCAAGCATAACTTGTGACACACAACCCCCTAAAATATCCCCTCATCTCAAAATTACGACCATCACCCATGATCCACTAGACCTACCGGCTAAGAGAACAGCTTGGCGCCCAAGAGGGGATTGAGCGAAGGATGTGGGTTAAGGGAATATTCTGATCACCTTAGCGACCTCTCATCACTTTTTCCAATCTATTACGGTTTTTATCCAATTTTTGTTTGACCCTGGATTTAAGTTTCATTTCATGCTCCTGTTCATAGAATCTTGACTTGCATTATGAACTTTGAGCAATATTTTCGAGACGAATTGTAGAGTAAAATTATGAAGGGTTTTAAATTCATTGTAATTTTAGGACACTACGAAGCATAAATTGAAGGTTTGATTGCTCACAATTACTTGAAAGTCTGTAGCTGCAGTAGTTGAGATAACAGATTTTCTTAGTCCAAAAAGGGTGGTTTAACTATACAGTCATGTGGTAAGGATTCGTTATCATCTTACTGCTGAAGTCCCGGCCTGGGCTTTCCGAAAATTTAATTGGGCTACGCGGTTATGGTACACTATTCTTCAAAAAATAATGTTTTAGAAATGCAAAACGTGAGCTGCATAAAACCTCTAACTTCGGCCTAGACCTTGCAAAATAGGGCAAAAATTCAACAATGAGCTCTTTTT